GGTGCAATCGAGATTCTTGGTTATCAAGGGGCATTTAAGGTGAATGGTCAGAGGCTCAAGCACTATATTGAAGGGGTTTCCATCCTGGAAATCTCAACATATCATCTGGAATGAGCTAGTTTACGTCAAGCTAGCGAAGAAAAACAAGCGCTTCTTGGGAGGCAACCCAAGGTGAGTTTTTCTTTCAAATTTTTTTTTTGTTTTAAGGTGTGTCTAGAGGCTCTCCGCCAAATTTTAGCTCCAAAAGCCTTGAGGAAGGTATTATTTGGTGATTTGTAGGTACACGGGCAGGCTGCTTTTTGCATAGTGAGGCTGCAAAATTAGCACAAGCAAACCGCAAATGGGGGGATGACTAATCTGAAATAGGGGGGGGGGGAGGACTAATCTGAAATTTTGGAAAGGAATGGGGGACTGAAAGGGATATTTCGTTTTTCAAAAAAAAAAAAAAGGGACGACAGCGTTTCATTAAAGAGAAAGAAAAAAAATATCGGGGTCGGGCCCATCGCCCTTCCCCTTCCCCTTCCTCCCTTCCTCCCTTCTCTTCTTCTTCCTCCATTCCTAGCCCGCGCCGCCGGTTGGCCTCCTCTGCCAGCCGCCGCGACCCACCCAGCCGCCGCCTCGCACCTCTCGCCCGAGGTCGTCGCCGGCGTCAGAGCCCCTCTCCACCCAGCACAGCCGCCGCCTCCGGAGGTAGTCGCTTCTTCGCCCCTCTGCTCCTGCTCGGCGCCGCCCGCATCGCAGCGGCCCAACCCTCACAGCCGCCGCGTCAACAACATCCCTCTCGTCGCCGCACTTCCGCCGACGAGCCCTATCGCCATTGCTTCTCGCAACAGCATCAACATCTTCACGACCAGCAGCAGCAGCCGGCGGTGAGCCCTCGCGCCGGCCGTCTCCGGCGGTCGTCGCCGGATTTCAGCACCACCAGCACCCCTCCTCTATCATCTCCAAGCTCTACCTCCCTTCCCCAGGTCTGATTCACCAAGATTCACCGGTTAGAGAAGCAATTCGAAAATTAGGGTTCTTCAAATTGGGAATTTTGCCCTAATTTCGAATTAAGGTGAAATTGGAGGGTATTGATTGATTGATTGGTCCAATTGAAGTGCAATTATTGTCTAGAAGGAGATTTGCAGAGGATTTTATGGGTGAATGAGCTGAATTCAACATTGTAGTAGAGTTTGTGGGATTTGATTGAAATTTGCAGCTTGAGGATTGGTTGATTTGAGGGTTGCAGAATTGAGGATTTTCTGATTGTGGTGGCAGTGAACTGGAACTTGGGAAGCAGAGTACAGATTTGTGCAAATTTGGTGATTCAAGCAGAGTGAAAGCTAAAGAAGTTTGTGTTTTCCCCAGTTTGCACTCTTGGTTGCAGATATGGGACGTCGAAGATATATCCCTCCACCTCGGCAGTTCAAGGTAACCGACCAAAGTGAGGATGGGAAGATTGTTTACCGTTCGTGGATGATTGAAGACAGCCACAAGGTGACCGATAAAGACAGCCCAATTCCAGAAGTTCCTCCACAATTTCAAGCGATCAACATGCTAGCTAGGTTTCACAGAGTGATCATCGGCCAGGTTGGACCCACTATGCGGTCCCGGACTATTGAGATGACTTCTCCAGCTCCATCAGCACCACAGCAACCTGTGATTATGCCTCCTGAAGAACCTCCACTCCCAGATTCAGCACCAGTTGAATCACCTGAGAGCAGGCCAGCAAAGAGGACTCGTCTCCAGCAATCGGGCTCATCTTCACGACCACAGAGGAATCCTACTTCTTCAGCACCGACATCATCCACGACATCACGTCGTACGACCCTAGTTGCAAGCAAGAAGAAGGCTGCTTCTTCTCTTCCAAAGGACGTCTCTAAGACGTTCGGTCAACCTGTCCAGCTCCAGCAACATAAAGAGGAATATGCAGATCTGATGAAACGAGAGGTCATCCCTTCTCAGTTCATGGACTATGAAGCATTGCAGAAGACCGAGCGGGCTGAGGAGGTGATGACATATTTCCGCAGGATGAATTGGGCAAGATTTCCGGAGCTGCACTTTCCCACCTATCCACACCTCACCAGAGCATTCTTGGCCACCTACAGCTTCGAGGATAGTGTGGTTGAGAGCAAGCTTCAGAGTACTTTGGCCGGGAAAACCAAGTCCCTCACTTTGAGCCAAGCACAGGACTTGAGTGAGTTTTGGAAGACAATTGTGGCAAATGGAAAGGAATTCCATCCTAGTTCTTCTAGGAGAGCATCGATCCGAGACCCGATGATCCCACTAGTACATGACCACTTGGCTCGAACTGTCTTGGGTAAGGGATCCAATGCCAGTGGTGTATACACCACCGATCTCAGGTACATTCACAGTTTCGTCACTGGAGCACCATTGTGTGTTGGGTACATGGTGGGTAAGATGCTTGAAAATGAAGCGCTCAAAACTTGTGGAGCGATTATGTGTGGGGGAATCATTATTGCATTAGCTCGAGCTTACTGGGGGTTACCAGAGAACCCTATGGGTTGGAGATAAGTGAGGGCTCGACTCTGCTTGGGGAATCAGCGTTAGGCAAATTGAGTTTTTTGAGAAAAGCAGGATGTCGTGGTGAATATCTATCCATTGCCAAATACAAGGAGTGGGAGATTAAGGTCAATCGGAAAAGGGCAGCAAAGGCTGCTAGAGCAACTTCTGCTTCAGCTTCATCTCCACCACCATCGGTATGCACGACCACAGTTCCAGCTCCTACACCATTGCCTCTGGGTGCTTGTTCATAATCACCAGCACCAGTAGCAGCAGGGCACTCTGCAACGAGTGTCGGTCAGAGTCAGCAGTCACATTCACCTCCAGGTCCGCATCCAGCAGCTACTCCACCAGTTGCACCAGCTTCACCATCATCCGAAGACGATCTCAGAGCCAGAATAGCTATCTTAGAAGCCAGAGACGCAGAGAAAGATAAGAAGATCAATGAGCTCAACCAGCGTCTAGATGAGAAGTTCGGCACTTCTTCATCGACCCCTCCTTCATAGGAGCTTGTCCCGAGGTTCTTTTTTCTTTTCTCTTCTTCTTTTCTTTGTGAATACTTCTCGTAGTGGATGATGGTCTGTAATAATGTTAGTTAGGTGAACCTGTTGGTACGTCGTGTGTAGTAGCAGACATTGTGGACAATGTCCATCCTGAGTGTGGGGTGGATGGTCTGTGTTCTTGTCGTGTTTTATGTTTAGGAGTCAAGTCTTAGTTGTCCACAGTGTCTCTTCATGTGTATATCATTAAAAAAAATTGCCATTAGGTTGAGCACAGCCAAACTGCATGCAGTTTGCCTGTGCAAAAAGCAGTCTGCCTGTGCAACGCTAATGGCTAAAAAACACCTAAAAATCAGAAAAAATTAAAAACAAAACCTTGTACTCTTGTGGTAACTGGTAACATGATGTAAATGACTGTGATGCGTGTGAAATGAGTTTGTGCTCGAATGAAATCATCGAAATCACCCCACTAGTGTTGAATTGAATAGTTCTTCACAATGAGCTTGATGTTTTGACTGACTTGATATGCTTTGAATGAGCAAACTCCTTTAGCAACATTCTCTTTTGTGAGGATAGTGTAATGACTTTTGGTGAAGTAGTTAGGTAGAGAACATTGACCATTCGACATGTTTGGATACCGTGCTTACTTGCATCAATTGTGGACTTTTGATTTTGCAATGAGTCTCTCTGTTTTGATGGTTTTATGATGGGGTGAACTGTATCTTTATAAAATGAGAAAATCCTACCTGACAAGTAAAATATAAGAAAGTTGCCATAACAATTAAAGTGTGGGTAAAAATGCCAAAATCGTGTGAGGCAATCACTCATTGCACATGGGGATGAGGAAAGATTCAATTGAGAATCGGTTCGCGACCGTACGATGTTGCTTATCAAGTACGATCCCAGTCGAGTGAAGTGCCATTTGAGGATGTGCAATGACCCTCCACACGGACCGAGGAAAAGGAGTTAAAAGAAGCCCTTATGCGAGTGCTAAGAAGCAGAAATTGCTCTTGCTCGGTCACCGGTAGTAAGAAACAAATCCCACTTGTACTAAATACGACCTCTCGGCAAGCAAAAGCAGAAAGAGAGAAAGCCTCTCCTTGTCATAAAAGGTAGTGATGTGCTTAAAGTTAAAATCATGTTTGCGAAAGGCTTCCCCCATTTGTTTTTTAGACTCATGCTTTGTTAATTGCTCATGATTGGTGTGAGTAAGCCAGATTGTCCTCACGAGATATGCACCTCACTGATGTGGTTAGATTCTCCTAATAATTGTTGCACCATAAGTTGTTAACCTCCCACTACCGACGATCGAAATTGAGTGTTGATATTTGAGTTTTTTGTGGATTGGAGTCAGTCAATGTTAAATGGTTGCAAAGACCTTGAGTGTGGGGTGAAAGGTATGATCATTATAGCACAACTTGTCCTTTGAGAAAGAAACTACTGATTACAACAAGAGTACAAGGAAAATTTTATTTTGTTTTTAGTGGTGAGTTTGTGGTGTGTCATTGTTGTGGATGATTATGTGTTTGTATCTTTTGAGTCGTTGCTTAGGGACAAGCAACAATTGAGTGTGGGGTTGTGATAATCGGCTTTAATATATCGGATTCTTGAACTTTATGTGACTATCTCATGATGTATTTAAGCCAATTGGTGCTATTTTAGGGCTCGCTAACCCGGAAATGGTTGAAAAATCATTACTGCCTAGTGTCATGAGTTTGATATGTTACAGGTGGAGAAAGCACGAAAAAGGAGCGAGTGCATAAGCAATAAATCGGGCTCGAATTACTGGTGGACTACTCACTTGGGCTCAAAGCCCAGCGATATTGTTTCTTTGGTGAAGGAAGAGTGGCGGCCATGAATTGGACTTGGAATTGGCTTGGGACAGAGAAGTTTTGGACGAAATGTGTTCATGAGTGCTGGTGAGTGTTGGTTCGGCACATAAACATGGAAGGAAGGAACACAAATCTGATCGTTTTTGCATTGATTACCGCAGGGAAGAGGAGTACAGCCAATGGTGGAGAGAACAGCAAAGTGAACCAGGAAGGTCCGTGGAGAAATGGAGGTATTTGTAAGGCCTTTCGGAAGGGATAATGCCGAAACATCCCACATTCCATCCATGACTGAGCAAGAAAAGGTACAAAATCTTACTTTCCAAGCACTAGAGAACTGAGAATGTGCTTTTCTTATGTGTGAAATTCGAGTTTCCTGAATGTATACTTGATCTATGAGTCAGCTTCTAACAGACCTTCCAGTTCAAGGCGTCATAGACCCACAATTCAACCTGTAGATGGGTTTACTTCACGGCCTGATTTTCTCCAAGTCAGTGTCACAAAATATGCAGAAAACACTGGCCTGGTAGGTTGCCGCAAGCAAACAATGCTTGGTTCTATTGATTCATCTAGTGCAAACAACTGAAGATGATGTTTTTTTTCTCTTTTGCAGAAGATGCATGGAGGGTTTGTTCTGAGGTACATCACCAACTGGAATGGGAAAATGGTGGAGCTTAAACTTGGAGAAAGAGACATGGTTCGTGGAAATTATGTCACGCCGTGGTGTTCCTACTATTTGTGAAGGGTGGTGCCGATTTGTGCGTGATAACTCTCTGAAAGCTGGTGACACATGTATATTTGTGGGCACTGCCATGGAAGATGTGCTCCAAGTTCACATTTTAGATGAATGATGCTTGTGAATTGGAAAGTTTGAAACATCTGTTAGATTGAGTATCAATGTATGGTAGGCTGTGTAAGGACTCCATTTAGATTCTGACCACGTCATTAATTCTAGGATGTTGATGTTAGGGGATGTTTCTGGTAATGTTATATGCACTTCTATTGGTTGACATTCATCTGCAACGTGTTTCTGCAGAAAGAATCAGTTATACTAATAGCCATTGCGATATGTAGAGCAAGAACATTCGGTGCCAGTTATTTTACGAGGGTTAATTGCATGGTTGGTCACTGAAATTACAAAAAACGTTCAAGTTTGGTCATTGAAATTACAAAAAGCGTTCAAGTTTGGTCACTCGAAATATTTAAATCCACTTGTGGTACTTTAGTTTACTGAAACCGTTCACGTTTGGTCACTCACCGTCCAACTCCGTTAACTTTTGCTGATGTGGCAGTCAACTCTCAAAGTTGACGGTTAACTTAGTGACGTGGCAATTTAAAAAATTATTAAAAATAAAAAAATAAACTTTTATATTTTCCATCTCATTATTACATTCATTAAAAAATAAAAAAATAAAAAACCTAATTTCTTATTACATTCATTAAAATGCAGGACGAAACCTCCGCCACAGCCGCCACCGACGTGCCGTTTTGCCCCCAGCTTCAGTAGCTAATATATAAAAACTCTAATTTTATTGAGAAAAAAATGAATTATTTTAAATACATTTAGAAACTCTAATTTTATTGAGAAGAATTATATAAAATTAAACTTCATCCCAAAAGTTAATTCATTATCGATAATATAATGAAAAAATATATATCATTACATCGCCATAAATTTGTGTCGTACTTAACTACTCCTTTTATTCATCTACTAACAGAAAAAATTAATCTACATGTACGAAATTAATATCCCAAAAATGAAAAAGAAAACAAAAGGAAACGATAATTTGTTGAAGCCGTCCTCATGATCCAAGCTTGACTCCATCTGTTGGGATTCTCCTCCTTGTAATTCGAAACCAAAACAATAACAAAATCCCTAAAATGGAGTCAACGTAAACCGTTCACATTAGAAAAGAATCCGACGAGAAGCTCCTGACGGTAGGACAGATACGACCGCCGCCAATCCCCATCTTTCAACGCTCTGCTCTTCGTATAAAAACACCTCGTGTGCTGACGCCGCCATTTTCGCAGCTCTTGCCGGCGACGGTTTCGCCGTCCGATCGGCTGCCGATTTCTCCTCACCCCTTTCCCCAAATTAATTTCATTATTGCTGGTGTTGCTATTATTACTGCCGCTACTGCTGGCGCCAGCAGTGTTTGGCTGGACCATCAAGTAGCACACCTTCCCGTCGCTGCTGGATCTACGCAGCAAATCTCGTAGCCTCCACCGCCGCTTCGTCGTCGAGGCCGAAGATCCGGTGGAATTGCTCTTCTCGCATATACCGGGAGAAGGCGACGCTCCGGTAACCGACGACGGGGAAATAATTTTTGGCGTCCAGCCGCAGTAGCTCCCTTCCGGCGCACCTTCCAATTCGTCTGCTTCCGACGAGGAAGAAGAGTACGACGACTGCTGATCTCGATCGTCCATGAACAACTCGCTCAGCGGGCGCAGTATCGTTTCGGCCGTTGCTGGAGCATCGCTGCTCTGTCCCTCAGCGTCGACGGGAAATCGATCTCGGTTGAACACCGGGTAGAAAACAGGGGAGACCAGTATTTTAATGAATGTAATAAGAAATTAAGTTTTTTATTATTTTTATTTTTAATGAATGTAATAATGAGGTGGAAAATATAAAAGTTTATTTTTTTATTTTTAATAATTTTTTAATTGGCACGTCACTAAGTTAACGGTCAACTTTGAGAGGTGAGTGCCACATCATCAAAAGTTAACGGAGTTGAACGGAGAGTGACCAAACTTGAACGGTTTCAGTAAACTGAAGTACCACCAATGGATTTAAATATTTCGAGTGACCAAACTTGAACGTTTTTTGTAATTTCAGTGACCAACCATGCAATTAACCCGATTTTACGAGTAAGATTTCTTGTAGGGAATAGGGATGAGTCGTGGGAAAGATACAAATGCGGATCGGCTGAGGCAACAGTGCTTTTCTTCCATTGACGATCGAGCTTTCTTGAAGAACTCTTGTCGTTGATACCCTCTTTTTTTTTTGGGTAGAATGTTGATTCCCTTTTGACAAACTGTGCTTATTGATCAGTTCACCAAAACCTTGAGAAATGGATTTGGACAGCTGGAACCGTCGTCTTTCGTCTTCCTCTGACCGCTGTTGACAAAGCTCTGACGGAGCAAATCCTCTGCCGCCGTCTTTTGTTATCAACAACACAAAAATATCTAACGGAATAATTATCTTACAGAATCGGTGTTCTGATTTTGTGAATAATTATCTATCTATCTACAGAATATTGGAAATTCCTACAATACCTTGAAGTTATGGTAACTTGATGTTTTTTACCTGCTACAACAGGTTTCACAAGTCGCATTACGTAAAATACATAGGCATTACGTAATGGTTACGTAATGTGTGTTTATCTTACGTAATAGTTGAAAAATGTCATTACGGAAACCTTACGTAATAGAGACTCATTTTATGTAATGAATATTAACCTTTCGTTACGTAATCTGTTGAATCATTACGGAAGGCTTACGTAACACTTCTAATTTAACTGTTACGTAAGAAATAACTATCGTTATGTAACCTTTACGTAATAGATGCATACTTTACGTAACAGTTGTAAAGTGGCATTACGGAAGCCTTACGTAATGGATGGTCCTTTTACGTAATGATATTAATCAAGTTACGTAATGTGGTAAGTCATTACGGAAGTCTTACGTAACACTTCTAATTTAACTGTTACGTAAGAAATAACCTTCGTTACGTAACCTTTACGTAATGAGCATGTATTTTATGTAACAGTTGTAAAATGTCATTACGGAAGCCTTATGTAGACGATGCTTTTACGTAATGAATATTAACCTAGCGTTACGTAAAATGATAAGTCGTTACGAAAACCTTCCGTAACGCTTCTAGTTTAACTGTTACGTAAGACTAACAAGCATTACGTAATTGGGTTAATTGCATGGTTGGTCACTGAAATTAGAAAAAACGTTCAAGTTTGGTCACTCAAAATATTTAAATCCATGGGTGGTACTTCAGTTTACTGAAACGGTTCACGTTTGGTCACTCTCCGTCCAACTCTGTTAACTTTTGCTGATGTGGCAGTCAACTCTCAAAGTTGACCGTTAACTTAGTGACGTGGCAACTAAAAAATTATTAAAAAAAACTTTTATATTTTCCACTTCATTATTACATTCATGAAACAAAACCTAATTTCAATCCAAATCTCCTAGTAGTCTATACTAGAACTCAGAGATATAAATGACGGAATCTACCACGATCATGGCGCCTTTCGAGTTCAATTCCACTACCCATTTTGTCGCTTCATCGGAATCTACCACGATCGACGTCTACGAGCTGACTCCGTCAACAACTTCCCCGTCTTCAGCTGTCAGAACCACCGACTGGAAAATCATCGCGACCGTCGCAGCCACTAGTCACCACCAGCAGGAGAATCAATACGACGCCTTAAAGTTGTTCGAAGAGGAGATCACGGGTCGGGACCTGAGCAATCTGGCAGAGGACCTTTCGCAGTCCCATTTCTACGTCAACCCACTTGGCAATTGCTTAATAGACGTCTCCGCCGGCGACGGCGAGTTCGTCGATCCGGCGTTTGGGGTACAGTTCTTCAGACTAAACGACACATTCAACTGGTCTCAATACGGTGCCGTTAACCCCCCTCCGTCGTCCACAGTCGGCAATCTGTGGGACACCCGCCACGGGTTCCCCCATCGCAGCGGCGAGAAGAGCGAGGCGATCGTCGATTACAAGAAGCAATTGAACGAGAACGAGAAATTGGGGAAATTGAAGACTCAATTTAGATCGAATACCCTAGATCTGGAATCGGCGAAGAGGGATCTGGAGAAGTACTGCAAGTGGTGCTACGATTTCACGTACAGGTGAATTGATTTTGTGAATGAAATAAAATTAATTTTAATTACCTTTAACTGGACTATCAATTAATCCTTAGATTATTTAAAATTACTACAATTTAAAAGCTTAATAGATTCTAGACAATCCAAAGATTTTAACTCGCTGGATTGTTGAAAAAAGATTTGAAAATGTTCATTGTTTGGTAACTACGATTGTTAACATTCAATGAAAAAAGAAATTCCATTTTTTCATTAAATGACATGTTTATCATTAACCAAAATAATTAGATTAGCTCGAAAAATATTGAGAATTTATTGGTAAGGGTATTTAGTGTGATAAATTGAAGGAAAAAAAAAGAGAGATAATAGGAGGGAGAAAATCTCCAAAATCAAGATGTAGAATCTCTCTAATTATGAGAGATTTGATATCTCTAGATTTTAGAGATTTAAAATCTCTGAAACTACAATCCACGATACAAAAAGTAGCAAAAAAACGTAACATTTTGTTAAATCTATGGATTCAACAAATCCATTATACAAATCTTGTTCTCCAAACAACCCCGAAAGTCCAATGAATGGAAGAGGGCAATTAATTGGAAGGGGATTTTCTTTTGGGCTGGACACGAAAAGCTGGGGGGAAAAAATAGTCTCTGCCTCTCTGGGGCGGAATTTTGAGGGAGAAGAGGAATTCTCTGGGCGGCGGAATTAAGGAAGAAAGCAGCACAGCGCAGAGGTTGGAGCGAGCAGTGCGATTGGGCAATTGACGACCGACTTCTCCAAGGTTTGAGCTGAGTTCAACGAGAGCGATTATTTGGTTGGATTTTCTGAACCAAATTAGTTGTTTATTGTTGATTAGGAACATGATGAACAAAACTCTATTGTTTTATCTCAATTTCATCATGAACTAAACCCCGATTTTTGGGGTAAACAACATAGGATGTAGCTATTACTTGATTTGATGGATTGATTCATATATCTTTTCTTCCAATCTCTATCGCATGGAATTGCTTAATGCTTTGTGTTGACTGGCCACCAATACATTGATTTGTAGTTAATTAGGTTATTAGCGACAGTGAAACCCTAATAACTAAACCTATTTCAGGTGACATAGTAACTTATCGAAGCGACAGTGGATTAAATAAGGTACTATGCGGTCTTAAATAGGATATCGGTCTTCAGGCTAAATAATTAACTCATTGAGCTACGACAGTTGGATTTGATTTAATTGTTCAGTACATAGTAATTCCCGACAGGGATAACTAGCACAACAGAGATATCTTGGGTGTAGAGAGTTGGATTAAATTGATTGGAATAGGTGAATTAATCTGGATAGGATTTTAATTGTTTAGTACGTAGTAATTCTCGACAGGGATAACTAGCACAACAGAGATATCCTGGCTATAGAGAGTTGGATTAAATTGATTGGAATAGGTGAATTAATCTGGATAGGATAGGTAGTGAATCCCGGTGTTTCTCCCAGAGCTTTCTCCCATTGAATTTTTCCCGACTAGTTTACTTTGCTTAATTAGTTTAGTTATTTTGCTATTAGTTGATAATCTCATCAACCAAACCATTTTCACCTATAGTTTTCTCCACAGAATTGATAAATCATAAGGTTGTACCAGTCCCTGAGAGACGATACCTGAACTTTCCGGTTTTACTAGGTATCCTAAATCCATTCTCATACCTAAATGCACCATCCTAACTCGTTGGTTCTATCAACCTAGCTAGTGGCTAGAGCATACGCAAGATCCAAGAAGAGGGGGAAACAACAACCTAAATCTCACATTAACCCAAAACACATCACCAAGTAAACTGCTCCAAAGAGACCATGCTACTAATCCTCTTCTATGACTCCATGGTCGTCTAGAAGAAGTAATGCTATTTGGTGCTCGTCAGATCCCGCTTCATAACATCAGGCCAAATCCCGAGGTTTCATTAAACAATTTGGACGTTCTTACCATATTATGGAAGCTTCGCTGAACTAGTCCATTACGACTTCACTCGACAGATTACGGGTTAGAAAATTCATCTTGTAGACGGTCTTGTCGTAATCTGCAGCAGTCATCACAATTATAACACCTTAGGCGAACCCCACATCGACAAAGTACGGAAGAGATCCTTGATTCAAGAGTAAGAAACCGGCCTTAACTGACAAGACGCGTTTTGGGGTGAAATGGACGAGTTCTTGAGAGAACTCCGAAGTTAAACGTGCCCAGTGTGAAGTACAAGAATGGGTGACCTTATGAGAGTCACCTTGAATTGCACCCCAAGTCGAAAACCGTGAGGGTCGAGACCCAAAGCGGACAATATCTTCGTCGGGAAAAGGTTCGGGATGTTACACAAATACTTCCGTTTTATTGATAAGAGAATGTAAAAACAGAGAAAAACAGACAATACATTCACTATTACATTATTAGATAACGACAATCACAGGGATAGAAAGAAAAGAAGAAAAAGAAAAAAGAGAAAAACAGACAATACTTTCACTATTACATTATTACATTTATTGATCACATTTGAATGTTAATAATTCTTTATATTGCAACTTGTATTTACCTCCTCTCTATTCTTCTTTTTCAATTCATCGGGGCTCTTGCAATGTTTTGGTGCCGATTGCTGGTTGGGTTTCATCTTTGACTCTCGTTAGAGAATGTGATGCATATGTATACAAAATTTTGTTTTTCTGAAACTCCTAGCTTATAACACACAACAACATACATAGATTCAAATACCTGAATTTCACATTGAGCAAAAGTCAATAAGCTCAGGAATTTGTAGATTTGTCAATAGCAAGGTAGCTAAACATGAGAAGGGCTTTTTTATATATAGGGCTTTCATTTGTAAGTTTGGTTGTCCATTAATTGACCAATATTAATTTCTTAGCTAATAGATTACAAAAAAAACTAATAAACTATGTTTCTTTCGCATTATATTAAGAGATGAATATTGATGTCATGACCAGAATGAAAGGATGATCACCAATATTTGTGAGAATAGAATTTATTGTCATGCCTCATAGAGTATCCTTCACAATTAAAATGTAAATTTAAAAAAATCAAATGCCTGAAAATCATGTGTTCAATATTTCTTTGCACTTTTAGCTTACATAAAGAATATGTTTCTTTCTAGTTAATTTAGTCAATGCTCCATCATTTCTTTCCAACTTTGACTTACTTGAATTCATTTATGACGTGTAAGATGGCAAAAAAAAATATTATAATGTCAAATAATTATAATAATGGATTTATTATAAATCGATAAGAGTTATTGTGGATGGTCATACCACCATCAAACATATTTTGCTTCCAAAAGAGAGTAATCAGAGTCAACCACACTTTTTGTTGATATCAAAACTTTCATCTTCCCTAAATCACAAAGGGAATGAATGTGCATTAAATTGCAGAGAGTATATAATTTAGAGAGTGTTAAATATTTGTACTTACATTCTAGGCTTGAAGATTGAATAAGTTCACTATTTGTTGATTGGATGATTCTTTGTGAAGAAAATCCTCAATGCAGAAAAGCACATATTGGTCGAACCAATTATGTTTTATGTAAAATCAGCTTATTATTTTTAATCTCCGAAATGGTTTGTTTTGTCATAGCATCCTACTATTGAATTTCTAAGTTAAGATTTTACATCACTAATTACTGAAAATTTGTTACGTCTCTCATAGGCATATGTTAAAAAATTTCGGCATATATCATAATTGTTCAATTATCCAATGAGGAATCATTAAGAGCATTGAGTTTTGTATACTCTCAATGTAAGGCATTATGTCTCAATTTTTCAACCATGATAATCAAATTTATTATGTTATACAACATTTTTTAGCTGATTATTTTCAAAATTATAAATAACTCTAACTAAGGCTTATTGACCCCTTAGTATATCATTGGATTTTAAGATCACCATGCAATATCCTCATCGACCTGACGTTAGTGATAGTAACACACTACAACAAAACAGTGATTTAGCGACATCCAAATGGACTTTTAGCGACGGTCAAAACCGTCGCTAAAAGATTTAATGACGGACAGCCAACCGTCGTTGACCCCGCCGTCCTTAAATTTTATAGCGACGGTTTTGGTCGACCGTCGCCAAATTTTAATGACGGTGGTAACCGACGTCATTTTCCTGACAACCGTCGTCAAATAAATATCCCAGCAATTGTTAAAATTATTTAGCGACAGACTCTGACCGTCGCTAAAAGCTACAGTATTTTAAGGAGCCACCTTCCCTAATAATAACAGCCCTAGCCAGATGTGATTTTCCATTACTCTAATGATCACAAATCAGCAATACACTACTCTAATAATCACAAATCAAGAATTGTAAATCCATTCATAGCCCTTTGAATTGTAAATCAAACCATCAATCCTTACAAAAGTACCATCAAATCCCTCAAATCCAGAATTGTAAATCAGTCAAACCACTTACAAAAGTTCAAAGCCTACAATCTAAAATTCAATACTATTTCAAACTAAAAACTGGGTTTACCCCTGCAGCCCTTCATCAACTTGCATCGCTGTAAATCAACAAAACAACAACAAAGATCCAGTCACAAATCCATAATTACATATCATTTCAAACTAAGTTCTCATTAACTTGCAACTTCTGCATCACCCTTTTCTACCCCTTTATTCCCAGCACAACTTAAGGACTAGGATCTCATAAAAGAAACAGCCGAAATTTTGGTTCAGATAAGCGAAATCCAGGAACTAGATGCTAACCTTTCAAAACAGGAGGTTTGTTGAATGAAGAACAAAATCCTGAAACACAAGAAAGAGAAAACGAACATGAGATTAGTCTTCACCGATCATTTTGCCTAGGTTGGAGTGGTATCAAAACTGAAGCTATTCGGTTGGCTGAAGAAGCTGAGCTTGCTTTCGTAATGCACTCATTTAAGAAGAAGAAAAAACATCTTTTTCCCTCCATTTCTTGAGTCAAGTAGTACCTGTTAAGGAGTGCTACCCCTGCTGTCTCGGACCGCTAGTCGAAGAGTGGCCAGAATGCTAACTAGTGGA